GTAGGAAAATAAATTGGGTGAGTTGGGAGAGGGTTTGCAAAAATAAAGAGTGGGGTGGGCTAGGGGTGAAAGACATGAGGAGATTTAATTTAGCACTAATGGGAAAATGGTGGGGACGTCTTGCATCCAAGGATGAGGGGTTGTGGAGGAGGGTAATCGAAGGAAAATATAGCGAGGGAAGAGGTAATTGGATGGATTGGGCAAGAGACGATAGAGGAATGGGTTCTCTATGGTGGAGGGATGTATGCAACCTCAATAATAGAGACAGTGAGAATGTAGGATGGCTTGTTGATGGTTTTAGACTACGGATAGGAGAAGGTAAAGGTGTGAGTTTTTGGTGGGATGAGTGGTGTGGAGAGGGATGTCTTGCTAACATTTTCCCTAGACTATACCTTTTGTCAACAGGAAAAGACAAAGAATGCTACCAAATGGGTAATATTCAAGAGGATACATGGAAATGGAATTTCTCTTGGAGAAGAACCTTGTTCAAGTGGGAAAAAGAGGACTCTATGAAACTCCAGGGGATTCTTGACAATGTGAAGATCACTCCTGGACGCCCTGACAAATGGCAATGGATTCACAGCAGTGATGGTCTCTACTCAACAAAAATGGCTTATTGGAAGTTGACAAAAGAACGGACGGGATCGAAGGAAGCAAAAATGTCAAAGAGAATATGGAATCCCATGCTCCCGAGCAAGATAGCTGCCTTCAATTGGAGAGTAATACTTGATAGAATTCCTACCAAAGCTAATCTTCATAGAAGAGGAATTATCAAGAACATAGAAGAGGCAAAATGTGGTATATGCGAGGAGTATGAGGACGCCAGCCACCTATTTCTAAAGTGCAAAATAAGTAAATGGATCTGGAAAGCTTGCAGCAGATGGTGGGGGATCACGGTAGCATTAAAGGAAGATTGCTGCAACACTTTTGACCAATTCGGGAATGGGATCAAAGATCCACACATAGCAGAAGGTTGGGATTGCATCTGGAATACTGTCATTTGGACAGTATGGATGGCAAGAAATCGCAAAATATTCCAGGACTCAGAAATTAATTTGGGTAAGTTGTTAGATTTTATTCAACTGAGATCATTCACTTGGATTAAAGCAAAAAAACCCAGGTGTTATTTTTCTCTTTCAGATTGGCTAATTAATCCTGCAGCATGTTTGTCTAGCAATAGGGGAGGGATTAATTGATGAATGATCTAAAAGAGGGAACTAACATAGGATATCTGTTGCTTTGTATAACTTTATGGGTTGAGTACCCCTTGTACTCAGTTTGAGTATATTCATCTTCTTTGCTGTTCAAAAAAAATATATATATAAGCATGGCATGGCAATATTTTGCCATCCAAGCAGCCAAGCATAAACGGCAGTTAAGCCATGCGAGCAAGTCCAAACGGCAGTTAAGTTGGCGTGAGAAGAGGGGCTTAATTGCTTTGATAGCAGAGTTCAAGGGCTTATATGCATCAATTAAAGTCTAGGGGTTTAATAGAGATTCTGGGGTTAGTTCAGAGGCTTAACTTATGGTTTTGCCTTTAAACTACATCAATTTATAAAACATAAATCTTTAAATAAAGAACAATTTTAAAAAAGAAGTCGTTATTTTATAATCTATATTATTCCGAATGGAACAGTAAAACAACGACCCATGTGATCACATAGACTTTCAATAAAATGAAACGCAATTTTAAAATTAAGCAACTTGGATGTGTTTATTCAAGCAATGATGAAATACAAAGCACCGAACGCCATTGAAGACCAAACGGTACAATGAATAAGGTGCCGGTCTTTAGAACTAGAGATTCTGGGTTTGATTTTGATCCCAGTGGAGTTGGTTGTTTGTGTTACGTCAAATTTTACGGATAATTTTGAAGGGTTTTTTTTTTTTTTTCACTTTGAAAGATCCAGTGGGAGTGACCCTCTTGAATCCGTTCTTGTTCCAAACACCATGAAACCATGAATCAAAATGCAAAAACAGACAGAAGTCAGTTATTGTTCTGTTGCAGAAAACTATGACATGAGTTACATGCTTTGTGCTTTTGATCACAAATGGTGTAGCTTTTGACACACCTCAGTAATAGGAATTAGAGGGTCCGAAAGGGTGCCATCAAGTATCTTGTTGGCCACCCACTGATTAGCAGCGTGTGAATAATGTACGCCGTCCCAACTAATATAGGCTGAAGGGTTGCTGCATGAACTCCGTGGAATTTCAGTTCCATTCACTATTTTCTTCCTCGAACACTTGTCATTGAGATAATGGCCACAGCAATATCCGAGTGGGTTAGTAAATCCTGCATATAAAATTGGAATAGACACTGAAACAGAGTCTAATAATGTGTGGAAAACTGGAAATGCATTGTCACATGTCAAAACTCAAAAAAGAAAGGAAATGAAGCTTGCCATGCTTCATTGCATTGGAAATTAGAGAATATTTAGCTGAGTAACTGTCAACATATGTCAGGGCTGCATCTTGGAATCGCACCCCTGAGTAGGGATACCCTCTCCTTGAGCTGCCGATTAAATTCTTGAGCCACCTCATTCTGGGACTTTATGCAACCATTTTGATCCACATTTTCAGGTTTTGTAGGATAATCTAGAACCTGTTGGGGTAAACAGCCAAAAGGACCTGTATTATGTATCCAAAATGTCCTTGCTCCTAGTTGGTACAGCCGCTGAAACAGTAAGAGGAAGAAGAATGAAAGATGCAATAAGTAAATGGTTTTAATCTTTGCTTTATCTTTTATGTTTTCTCTTCTTCTTCTTCTTCATTTGATGAAATATTTTCTCAAAATATTAAAACCAGTTAACTGCATTTCTCTACAGGGACTATAATATGGATCTTTGAATATTTCTTATGAATTTTCTAAGCTCTATAATCCATGTAAGCAATGAAGCAGGGTAATCAGCTCAAGTTAGTGTTTCTAGGCCAGTAGAAAGAAACAAAATCGACAAGCACTCAGAACTGAGGAGGAAACATAAGATGTGCCTAGTTTTTGCTAAGAAAATCACCAACATGGTACCAACAGCCATCTATGCCGTGCACATAGTTCTGATGCATTTCCTTTTAACTTTGTTGATCTAGGGTGGTGCTAACTTCAGCTTATAGCTCCTATAACAAGCATCTCATATTAGCTGATTCTGAATGGAATTGGAAAAAGGCAATGGATATACAAAACTAAACTAGACTAGACAACTGTGGCTTTTAACAATATATGCTCGATGCTATATGCAGACATGCCTGAGCACAGGATTTAAATTCATACAAATTGCAATTATGCAATTATGCATTTTCTAAGGTCTTGTGAATGTGCTCAAATTACAACGTATCCCTATCTAAGGAATGGAATGAAACCATAATCTTAGTATATAGTTACCGGAACAACTTGGGTAAACTGATCAATAAGTCCTGGAATAGATGCTAGCACTTGTTTTTCTCCCATTAACTTAATTGCACCAGTGAGATCATTCTGACCAATATCCAAAGTGTATAATGCTTTTGAGAAGTCCTCTGGCCTCGGAATCCCACTTTTGATATTTGAGTTCACACCTTAAGAACAAAAAAAAGTCGAAACTTTTTTTTTTTTTTTTGAACATAGAAAATTTGTTGCAACTACGGGGAGGGGGGACGGGAAATGGGGAAGGGGTTGGTGGGGCTTGAACACACCCCACCAGGTGAATTCCACATGAGGCCAGTGGCTAAGCCACTGCACTTGTAGCATGGATTTTAGAAACATTAATTCCATTACGAATCAAAATCTGAAAATTTTCACTTGAATTTATATGATCGTTTTCCATGATAGCTAACCTTCTCTATGTAGCTCATTGGTACGTTCTCTGAATTGTTCAAATTGCAGAAGCTGTATATCAAGAGAGATAGGGCTGAACCCTTGGTTGAATATTATGGCATCAACTGGCTGAATTGTAGATCCTCCTGTAGCAAAATTAGCTCCATGTCTAAAATTTGTACCAATGGAATCCAGATACGCACTCAGGTATGGCAGCTCCAATTTCTCAGCTGCAAATAATCCAAGATTGATATTGAAAAACAGAATACAGCACGATTGATGCTTAAAGGATGAAGATTTAACAAAGCAAACTAACCAATGAAATCAATGATGACCTCTTCCCATCACAGTATCTCCCAGATGGCCTGTGGAAGAAAGCTTCTCCATTGGGGTAAGGAATACGGTGAAATGCAGCTGACTTGCCACCGGTGTCAGAATTTGAGTCACCGAAGTTGAATATGGCCGGAAAATCACAACCGTCTGAATGACCAAAAGTCTTCTGTTTTCTTGTAAGCAATAAAACAGAGGATGCAAAAACAAAAAGAGCTACCAGTGTCAGCATTCTTATACTCCTGCTCAGTGCCCAGTAACTCTTCCACCTCATACTGATAATGGGTCTTGCCCACTCCATAGCAGTTCTCTCGGGCATTTTCACAAACAGTTGGTGCTACATAAAACTTAACTAAATTCTCCACTCGTACTAACAAACAGCTTAGATTCAGACTCAGAGATGGCACCTGCAGGCATTTTGGATGACAAGTACGTAAAAACGAAAAAACAAAAATGGATTCATTGATGAAGGTTAGATCTTAGATCTACTGCAAAGGGTAAACTAAAGCAATCCAACAAAGAAACAAGGGTTATCAAATTATAAAATAGTGTAGCTCTGTTTGTTTGTTTTATTTAATCAGAATAAATAACTAATATGTGTTTGGTATCATGTCATAATCTTACCAGCCCGCCGCTCTTGCTGTTCTTGGCTTACACTTTTTCCCTCGGGCATGGTTATTGCCATACTATTTTATTTTATTTTATCTTTTTTTTTTTTTTTTTTTTTTTTGTTAAGCCTCACAAAATACTTGTTTTACTGTTATGCACAACTGATGTAAATAGAATACATATTGCAATCAGTTAGTTATAGATTAATGTGATCAAATATCTGTTTAAAAATAAAATTATAAATTGATAAAATAAAGCAAACCAAATACGTTTATTATATTATTTATGTGATAATAATCAAACACTTTCTTTTAACGGTTAAACTTTTTTTACATAATTAAGTTTTTTTTTTTTTTTCTAATTTTCACTAGAGCTTTTGGTCCAGTTAGTTTCATAAATACATGCAAATTGCTTTGTCCACAAGTATTGGGCAATTCTCTATTCAAGAGAACAAATGTACTCTGTTTGAATTGTTTATAACAAAAAATAAAAATAGAGTAATTCGAAACTAAATTTTCAATATAATTCACATCACTTCTTACTAGAATCAATTACAATATATATATATATATATATTTGTCTATTTCGTGATTATATGAACTTCCAATAAAAAAAACATGCAGTTTTAAAAACAACTCAGATGTGTTTATTCAAGCGGTGCTATGGTATACGCGAATTCTAGGATTTCTTTTCCCTTCACCTCTTCTAGGGTAATAAACACAATCTTCCAATGAGCTTCTACCATAAATAGATAAAACAACAGGGAAATGATTTTTTCAAGGAGTTAAAAATATAGTAAAATACAACACTGTATAGATTATATTGGGTAGCTGGAAGGAAGCTAGTGACATGCACCCGTGATGGGAACGGGGGGATCCGAAAGGGAGCCATCCAAAATTCTCTTGGCTATCCACTGATTTGCAGCTTCAGTATAATGAGTTCCATCCCAGCTAATGTATTTGGAAGGATCACTACAAGAAACTCCAAAAATTTCACTCCCATTAACCACAGCTGTCTTTCCACAATTAACATTATAGTCACCCAAGTGCCCGCAACAGTATTCAAAAGGACCAACAAAACCTGCAATACGCAGATGAGTATGGATGTTAGTTAGATCTCACAAGAAATTTGAATCAGTTGAACAAGTAATAAACTACTACAGCAGCAAGAACATTATGAAGGGATGAAATAATGAATGTAGAAGATGCCCCAAACCAAGAACATGTTATAAACTGATAGCATTAAAAATGAATTAGCAAGATAGAATCAGTGTCTTATAGAACTTTATTGGCCGATGAAAATGTAAAACTTACCATATTTGTTTGCATTGCTGATTAGAGAATATTTAGCAGAGTAGATATCAACATAAACAAGACTTGCATCTGGAAGTTTTGTCCTAAGTTGGGAAACCTTCTCTTTTAGCTGCTTGTTGAATTCCTCAGCTACCCCATTGTAAGACTTGATGCAGCCAATCGGATCAGCATCCTCAGGCTTCGGAGGGGAAGGTATAACAATACTAGGCAAACAACCAATTGGACCGGTATTATGTATCCAAAATGCTCTTGCTCCTTCTTGATAGAGAGTCTGACACAACTCCGAAATAGAAAGCAGTAAGAGAGAAGTCATGCCTAATCTATAACGCATATTAATGATTTTATAATTCCAAGTCCATATACAGAAGGCAGTATATGTGTGAATAAATATCAGAAAGGATGTCAAGATTACCTCTATGTACTGAGAAAACTGATTGATTAAATTGGGGGTGGATGCATTTACTTGCTCGACTGTGGTAGTCGCAAAACCATAATTTAGATCATTCTGCCCACTATCTAATGTGTAAAGGGCCTTGCCAAACTCCTCTGGTTTAGGAAGCCGGCCTGTAATCTCTGAATTTGGACCTGAAACAGTGGAAAACACATCTGATGCCATCACAGTGAATCAAACACAGGATCAAATATTGCACACAATTAACGCAGCATATTT